GTGATTGGGCCATCTCGGGAGCGTTGATGCAGGAATACGACCAGATCCACTATCCTGTGACGTTTACCAGCCGTACTCTGAAGTCGAATGAATTGAATTACGGCATCGCGGAGAAGGAGGTACCGGCCCTTCTGAGGATCCTGGATCTCAATTACAATACGTTGGTCGGACGTCCGATCCGCGTGTTCACCCGACATTCAACATTGGCGTGGCTCTTCAGATCCACGGCCTTACAAGGACGTTTAGGACAATGGGCGGCTCTGCTGTCACCTTGGACACTTGAGATCACCAAGTGTGTCAAAGGAGAGGACGAGATCTTGGGAGCATTGGCAGCCAGTATCACTCCTAGATCAGAAGTGGATATGGCGTTGATCTCAATCGCGCCCAAAAAGGAGTCAAGACGTAAGATCCAAGATCCGATCCCCACTATCGGACGAGATGAGGAGCTATATGTGGTCAGCTTCGATGGATCAGCCCGTGTCAAAAGGGGTGGAGGCGCCTACAGCGCGATCCGGTGGAGGCTACCCGAATGGAGAGTGGTGAAAGCTAGATCAGGGTATGCCGAAGGCTTGACGGTGAATGAGGGAGAGTACCATGGGTTGCTACTATGTCTGGATCTGTTGGAGGGTCTGGATCCACAGCGTCTGGTGATCTGCGGAGACTCAAACCTGGTGATCCGACACGTACGAGGAGATATCGACTGTAAAGCACCAGGTCTGACACTGTTACGTCAGCGAGCCTTGGATCAATTATGTACATGGCCAGATCATGAACTGTTGCACGTTAAACGGGACTGGAATGGAAGTGCTGACAGCCTAGCAAGTGCTGCTCTACAGCGACAATGCGGAATCCAGATAGGGTCTGAGGCATAGATTCCAGGATCACATAACGTTAAATAGGTTGGATGAGATCCTGATAGTGAAAGTCGAAGAAGAAATCGTACGGGTATCAGCGGTGACGACCCGATCTAAGGCTAGATCGGGGGTACGTGTGGGATCGGATCCAGATTCCTTACGGGAAGAAGTTGTGAGAGAGCTACGGATCGAGCGGATCCGACAAGGACGAGGAGTCGTGGATCATGGGCTTGAAGAAATACCTAACCGGGGAGATCCGGGATCTGACACAAGAAGAGGCTAAAATGTTCGGATTCATTGCCGCTAACTACGACGTGGATCAGCTGGAGCTACTTTTCTATTACCCGACATCTAAGTAAACGGCCGCAGATCGAGATAAACTGATGCGACTAGTGATACCTGAGACCGCTTCAACAAGATATTCTGCACCATTACCATACCAGTCTACAGGGCGGTCACCAAGGGGTTGGCCGCACCTATGACCGGACCCGTGATCAATTCCACTGGAGGGGTTTGTATAAGAGTGTGCAACGATATGTGGGAGAATGCATTGACTGTGAGACAGGCAAGGGAAAACCTCGGATCCAGGGCGAGTCGCCTGGTAACCTTCAGGAAACGTACCCATTTCAGATCATCGCCATGGATCATATACCCTGGCTGCCTAGATCCTTCAACGGCAATACCGAATTGCTGATCTTTGTGGATCTATTCTCGGGATATGTGATCGCCA